CATCAGATGCGAGCGGCATATCACAACACGACCAGACGAAATCACTCCCATTATAATCAAAGAAGCTGTCTACACTGAAAGGGCTTGAGTTCAGCTGTTGCTGAAGTGCAGACTGGTGAATGTCATGCCGTGAATGATCTGAGATGACACTTCCACTGTAGCCATGATGTAAGTGCGGAATTCAGATTGAAATGCTATTCAGTCTGAGATTTATTTAATTTTTTATGTTCCTCTTGTTAGGCTATACTTGGCAGATTGTCCAAAAACATACAGGTGCTGGCTAATAATACATTTTCTGGATACAGGTTTACTTCTGAATCATTCCAAATACACAGCAAAAGAATCATCATGCATTACCAGTACAGTCTGTGGTCACACTTTACTTTAAGGTCCAATTCTATTAACTATTAACTACGACTTTTTCCTCAATAAACTCCCAATTTGCTGCTTCTTAATAGTAGGTAGTTGTTAAGTTTAGGTATGGAGTGGATTAACGGATCTAGAATGTGATCATGCAGAATAAGACATTAACATGTACTTTATAAGTACTAATAAACAGCCATTATGCTAGTAATCCATTCTAATAAGCAACTAGTTAATAGTGAGAACTGGTCCCTAAACTAAACTGTTAACCAGTCTGTAAATGCACATGCGGTGCATTTGCACTAAAAAGCATTGTATTTTTGATGGCAAGTGAAAATAATGAAATTACCCACAGTATCTATCAGGGGCAGTTTCTTCATTAGGGCGACGCTCCACCAAAGTGTGAAAGGGAGGGAGGGATTTTTTTTTCTATCACATTCAACCACAGTGTTAGGCTAGCTGTCACGGTTCTAGACTGTTTGTTCTGCCTCTAGAAATATAGTCCAATCAGCGTTGTCACATTCTGTGGAGTACCGCCCCTTTTTGGTCGATTTCACTCTGGTCAAGAATCGCCCAGACTGTTCTTATAGACTTCCATACAAAGAGTTTTTAATTTTTTTTTTCAATCTCTATGAGTTCTGGGAGGGCGAGCGCTAACGTGCTTCCGTCATCATACGTAACATTAACTGTGCAACGGGTATGGGCTGAATAAAGCAAACCAGTATCTCACCAGTAAAGTTTTGATTTCGATTGTAGTGGAGGTAAAGACGATTACAGTGACATACAGGAGTCGTACATTATTAGACACGTTCGAGTCCGTTATTATTAGTCTGCAAATAAACAGACCGTGTCTGTGCGCTCTCCGATAGCTTTTTGCACGAGCACATTTCATTATGATTGCATGTCTGGCAGGTGTTTTATAATGGACACTCGCTGAAGAAGCATGTTTTTAGAGGAGTTTGCGATGGTCAGTGGTGTTTATATACATATGGGCATCAACACTCACTCTGACAGAGAAACTGTTCACTGAGCTGCCTTCAGATCGCCACGTTCGACAAATTCAGAATGTTTTTATTTACTTTTTTAACTTGTGTTTTGCTCTGTTTAATAATTCTGAATGGATAGGTATATATTTATATGCAGTCAGTTTATGGCGACTGGGATAGTGGTCTGTTAGGATTTACGTGTGGTATTGCAGCTTGACTTGTAGTAATAGAAAATGCTCTAAACATATGTGACATTTTTTATGATATTTCAAATGTTTCAAGTCTTAATATGTTTCCTTTTGTTATACTGAGATAAATCATACTGGGATGTGTGCTAAAATCGTTGGATGTGGCACCCTACCTAGAAAATTTTCCACCAACCGCCGCTGGTATCTATTGTTTTCAGACCACAAGACTAACAGAAACCCTTCACAGTTTGTGTTTTAGAAAAAGTTTAGCTCTCTGGCGTCTTAAAGGATCCATCATTATGACCGAGTCTCTACCGGATTAAACACTGTTTC